AGACAGCTCGCTCACGATGAAGGTCCCTCTTATCCTAAAGCTAAGAGGGCAATTGAGAGCGGATTATATATGGATGATTTTGTGTATTCGGTCGATAGCGTGGAGGAGGCCACCCTAACCACCGCCGAGGTTATAAGGCTCATGAAATCGGGTCAATTCGATCTTGTGAAGTGGACTAGTAATTCGCGTCCGGTTTTAGATACAATCCCACTATCACACCGTCTTTCGGCGATAAAGGAATTCGACGATTCCGATACACACAAGGTGCTCGGTCTGTGTTGGTCACCAGAGTCCGACGTGTTTAGCCTTAAGGTAAATCCGCCCGTAGAGAAATGCACAAAGCGCACAATACTGTCATGCGTTGCTAGATTATGGGACGTCATGGGTTTCGTAGCTCCGGTGGTATTATACGCTAAGCTTTTGATTAAACAACTTTGGTTATTTGAATGCGATTGGGATGACTCGCCGCCTGACAGCATTGTTCGATTGTGGCAGCGCTTTAGAGAGGAACTTCCTTTACTAAGAGAAATTAAAATACCGCGTCATATAAATGTCGATAGAAATAGCAGCATAACGGTTGTTGGATTTGCAGACGCCAGCGAGAAGGCTTACGGGGGCGTTGTATATTTCCATGTCCAGAATAATGGTAGAAATTCGATTAGCCTCATTAGTTCTAAGTCGAGAGTCTCCCCCCGTAAGGTTGTCTCTCTGGCGCGCTTAGAGCTTTGCGCAATATTAGTACTCACCAAGCTTATTACCACAGTTATCGGCGCATGTAGGGATAGAGTTCACATAGAAAGAATATTTGCCTTTTCCGACTCCACCGTCGCCTTATGTTGGGTTCATTCTTCACCCCACCGTTGGGATACGTTTGTCGCGAACCGAGTGGCCAAGATCCAAGACGAGTTAGAAACGCGGAACTTTTATCACGTGTCCGGTAAGGAAAACCCTGCCGATTGTCTATCCCGGGGACTCACCCCGATGCAAATAATGGACCACCCGCTTTGGTTCCATGGACCTTCTTGGGTTCACTTGGATCCCTCACAATGGCCAATAACCGATTTCGAACCTTCGTCAGTGTCACAACCGCCGGAAGAGAAGAGACACGCTCTAGTGGCGAACGTTTCGAGCGAGGTTTCTCCAATCATTGCTCTGGCGAACCGCTTGTCCTCTTGGTCGAAATTATTGCGTAGCGTAATTTACGTTTGTCGATTCGCGAAGCTTTTACCGCGACGTCGTCGTATGTCTTAGCATCCGATTACAACTATGCCGAGTCGCTAGTATTACGTGAACTTCAACGTGCGCACTTCTCTGAAGAAATTACAAGATTACAATCGAATAGAGCTTGTAGTCGCGCCTTTCAACGCCTTAAGCCATTTTTACAGGATGGGATTGTAAGGGTAGGTGGACGCTTGTCCAACTCGCAGTTGAGTTTCGACCAACGGCACCCTATAGTTTTACCGCGTAAAGACCATATCATGAACTTATTAGTCGATTATCATCATAAATTGAACTCGCACGCTGGCCCCGATTTATTGATGTCGATCTTGCGTCAGAATTATTGGATTCTTTCTGCACGTAGTTTAATACGCAATCGGGTGCACAGATGTATAGCTTGCTTTCGGGCACGCCCCAAGCCGTCATTTCCGGAAATGGCGGAACTTAGATCTTGTAGAGTGATACAATCGGTAAAGCCCTTCACGCACACCGGGTCTGATTTTGCTGGTCCGTTTAAGGTCACGCTCACTCGCGGGCGTGGTATAAGATCCACAAAGGCTTACGTCTGCATTTTCGTATGTCTAACTACTCGAGCAGTGCATATAGAACTCGTTGGTGATCTAAGCACAGCAGGCTTTATGGGTGCATTTAAAAGATTTCTATCGCGCAGAGGCCCTGTAAGTAGATTATATTCGGATAACGGTACGAACTACGTCGGTGCAAAACGTATTCTATCGGAACTACATGAGCTCTTAGCTAGCAAGTATTATAATTCGGAGTTCGCTCACATTCTAGCCGAGAACCGCATTGAGTGGTCTCTGAACGTCCCAGCCGCGAGTCATTTTGGGGGCAATTGGGAGACTAATATTAAAAGTCTAAAGAGCCACTTATACCGAGTAATAGGAGAACATCAAATTTTGTCCTTCGAAGAGCTAAGTACGGTGCTCGCTCAAATTGAATGCGTAATGAATAGCCGCCCACTTTGTCGGACGTTATCTAGTGACCCCTCGGAACCGCTGGCTCTAACTCCAGCACATTTTTTGACTTTAACGCCTCTAAGGTATCTGCCCGCCGCGGATATGGATGAGAACAGACTTAACATTTCCACACGCCACAAATTATTAGATCGGTTAGTGCAATCGTTTTGGAAACGATGGAGGATGGAATACTTGCATACTTTGCAGTCTCGGCAAAAATGGAACACAGCGACAGAGCCTTTAGCTGTAGGAACCGTAGTTGTGCTCACTAAGGAGAATACGCCGCCTCTCCACTGGCCGTTAGGAATCGTCGAGGAGGTCTTTCCCGGTTCCGACGGAGTAATTAGGATAGCTCGCGTTAAGACCACGGTTGGGTCTTACCTACGTCCGGTTATCCGTTTGTGCCCCTTGCCTCTTCCATAATTTAAATTAGCTTTTAGACTGAAATTGTAGTTTAATTTAGGTAATCTTAGCGTTAGTTAGTTATTTGTTAGTCGATCTTAGCTCTAGTTGTTTAGTTATTTTTTTTGAAGGAAATCCTTCAAGGGCGGGGGGAGATGGTTGCGCGGAAAACCATTCGCGTTTTTTTTTATTTTTGACGGTAGGAACTTGTCGAATCATTATTCCCTTCCGAAACAATATCATTCGTACCCTCCTATCGACACATCGGGGTGGTGGGGTGGGAGGGGAAAGAAGACGATTCTAGAACATCGCGTAATCATCGGACCCGAGGATATATAAGACACGCGCGACCGACGCGCGCTCTCTTCTCCCGCCGCAGTCGTCGTTGAACTACAACCTCCTCTTCCCGCGCGCTCGTTTGGAAACACCTCACTAGTGGAAACCGCTTTGGCCTGGAAGCAGTCGAGCTCCAGGAACCCGCCTCACCTCGTGTGAGATATCGTCGCGCACCGCCTCTCTCCGGAGTGTTCCAGAAGTCGCTATAGTGATCGACAGGAAGAAGAAACCCCGGTGAGTCAATACTCCTTAATTATACCTGCTTGCTAATAATTTAACCCGCTCCAATCTGTGTTTTTTTTTCCTAGTCAAGCAGGATTCCTTTCATCGATTCGACAAGTAATAGTTTAGTTTAGGGAAGAGCGAGTGCATTGTACCGCATGCTATAGTAGTCGCTTTTAACGTAAGCGTAGAAGCAATCGCATATACAGTCCACTTTAGTTAATATCTCGCGTAATAGGTTTGAGGTTTGACCGGGGAACTAGATTTTCGGCAGCCTTAAACACGTGGCTCCACCAATACCTTTACATGACATAACCAAATCATTTTACATTTGATTTTGTTTTGTTACAAATTTTAGTAAGATTATGGTTAATTAATAAACAGATCTTAACACCGTACTATGTAAGATTCAAAATATTTTTAATTTATTCTGATTTTATAAACGAGTCTGTTATTTGGAACAAAAATAACGTTGATGTTAGTAGGCATCCACTGAATCTCTGCAGTATCATAGACGTATATGATGTATTTTATTTGATTCCGTTGCGAATATATTAAATTACATAGAAAATAAAGCGAACTTAAAACAACTACATCAATAATAACTAGGAAAACTCGAGCTTAAATGATACTTTATTTAACATTTTATACTAAATCAACACAAAAAATAAAAACCCTTGGCCGTGTGCTTACGTTTTGTATAATATACAATGTTATTAAACATTCCAGCATAGCTACTACAGCGTAGGTCCAAAAGATCGGTCAGACTGCTATTCATGATAAAAATCGCAACTGAGGATTGAAAAATCGACACTTAGGTTGTCATTATTTATCGATCGATCAGTAATTTTATATTAATGATACCATAACCGTTGTAGCCTATTAAACTCCACAGCTGAAACATAGGTTTCCCTCATAGACTGTCTCGTAGGGGGATATTTGCTATAGTTGTAACGCTTGGCAAGCGGGTTGGCAACCGCAATTTTTTTGCCGTTATTAGGAAAACACCTTTGCCATCTCCTGAGTTGTTCTCCTATGTCGCCTATTACGACACTAACGAGATTATATGGGTTGGTCGATATTCATACACCGACACTACTTGGTGCATAAACTAAGTAAAGTAAAGTTACATCCTATATACGTCCCACTGCTGAGCACAGGCCTCCCCTCAATTCTGAGAGGGTTTCAGGGCAAGGAAGTGTCCGCCGTGCTGCCCCAATGCGTGTTGGCGAACTTCACATGTCTTCGAAATATTTTTTTTCTTATTCTTCAGACATGCAGGTTTCCTCACGATGTTTACCTTCACCGCCGAGCACGTGGTAAATCAGCACTTAAAATTGCAATTAATAATTTCATTGGTGCCGGCGGGGATCCAACTCGGGTTACTCGCGTTCTGTTATATTTACAGCGAGCGTTAACCATCTGAGCTACCACGGCTCTTGGTACATGTAATAATGTAAATCCGCCTAATTACAAAAAATAGTAATTATATTTTAGTCTCAGGTATAAACTAGAGTGTGTTTTAATAAACATGCCTGTGAAAAGAGTGTGAACTAAAATGTTTATAGCTATCAAATATCGCCTAAAGACTGTGGTGCTGTGGCTTTTTTTTTCTTAAACCATACTTTAAGCCTGAAATAAAAAATAAACCAAATCTTGTAATAACTCAGTACAGTTTCCAATATACATTTTTGCATTTATTTATAGTAATACGACTAACGTAACTTAATATAAACAGAAATGTATTAGAAGTGTAATTATTAGGAAACATATAACAAAAACATCGTTTTTTTTTTTTTTACTTAAACCGAAAACCAAAATAATAATTAAAAAAATGGAACTTACATTATGATACCATGTTATGCGATATTCCCTGGGATTCGCACGTACTGAACATTCAAAATATACGTCATCGCCTTCTTTGATGTCATGCGGGTTGAGGGTGCTCCCTAATGATAGTGAAACTACGGGTGGGTCTGCAAACAAATAAAAGAAAATAATCTATTTATTTTTTTTTATTTTTTTTATTTTTTTTTTATTTTTTTTTTATTAGGAAACTCAACAGCATATTTTTAACAATCATACTTAAAATACATATTAACAATAACAGAGTTTCACAACATGCTGAATAACACTTACAAAGCAGAGAGGTAAAATTGTAACTTAATACATATTATCTAAATACATAATATTTTACACACGATTGCAGTACATGGTTCTATATTATGTGATTTGTATACAATTATGTTTAGATTTAAATTTAAATTTAAGTTGACAGCTTTTTATAAAATTAATAAAACAACAAAAATAAAATGATATTCACTGAATAAAATAGAATAAACAATATAAATACATAAAATAAATATGTTACATGTTATTTTGTATACCTTATAGTTCTATTATAACTAATATAACGACATGATTTCCAAATTGATATTTTTTTACAGAATTGTGATAATACAGATGGAGTTATAGAATAGATGTACATTATGTGATAGTTACTGCTTCTTAGACAGCTTCAGGATAAGTTTGTGTTTAAAGTTAGACTTAGAAAAGTTGAAAATATCAACATTACTATATTTACTATTATAAATTTTGGGTAGACGAGTCATGACAGCGTTCATACCGTATTTGGTACGATGTTTAGGTACATTGAAAAGTGGGGTCTTTCTAGTACGGTACTTAGGAGTGCAGAACTGGATACCTGCGAGAAGATTAGGACTATAAATGTTACTGTGAAGGATATCATGCAAAAAACACATATCAAGTAATTCTCGTCTAGATTCCAGCGACAAGAGACCGTATTTAATACACTCCTCATTATAAGTTTCACAACGACGCATGCCGGTTTTGTAATTGAGGTGCTTTATGAAGAGTTTTTGTATTCTTTCCAATCTGTTTATATACAAAGCATATTGCGGCGACCATATGGAGCTACCATATTCTAGAATACTGCGACAATATGCGTAGTAGATAGATCTGAGACTGTTTATGTTTTTAAAAGGTTTACAAGTCCTCATAATGAACCCCAGATTGCGATATGATTTATTTACGATATGGTTGACATGCTCAGAAAACGTCATTTTAGAATCAAGGAAAACTCCTAAATCCTTTACTATCTCAGTCCGTTTTATGCCTTCATTTTTAAAGTGATACGGAAAAACAATTTTATTTTTCTTTCGGCTAAAACTGATACATTGACATTTACTTATATTTACTGTTATATTGTTTCGGACATAATATGAGTGTAAGTTATCCAAGTCACGTTGAATTAGTTCACAATCTTTAATCGAGTTAATTTTCAGGAACACCTTTTTGTCATCAGCGTATAGTAGATGATTTGAAAATTCAAAACATTGGTTAATATCATATATATATGCAGAATAGAAAAGTGGACCAAGGTGTGATCCCTGAGGAACACCTGATGGAATTTGTATGAAATCAGACTTGAAACCACCAATGACAACAGCTTGAGAACGATTAGAGAGATAAGAGGTAGTCCATCTTAGTAAGTCACCATGAATTCCAAGCCTTTACAATTTGTCTAAGAGGATGCTGTGATCCACACGGTCGAAAGCTTTTTCAAAATCCGTGTAGATCACATCAACCTGTCCACAGTCTTCCATCCCACTAATAACATAGTCACAAAATTCTGCCAAGTTAGAGATGGTAGACTTTCGTTTTAAAAAGCCATGCTGATGATGTGAAAGGCCTTTTTACAATTACAGGGTAAATGTTATTATAAACAACTTTTTCCATCATTTTACTAATTGTGCATAAAATAGAAATGGGACGGTAATTACTTATTTCCACTTTTGAACCCTTCTTATGAATCGGTATAATAAATGCTTTTTTCCACAATGTAGGAAAGACGCATTGGTTTAACGATGTCTTAAATAATAAATATATAGGATATGCCAATGACACAGCACAGTTGCGTAAAAATACGGGTGCTACTCCATCACACCCAGGGCCTTTAGAAACATCTAGCGTCTTAAGCATATTAAAAACGTCATCCTTTGTTACGGTTAGACCAGATATTGTGTCAAAGGTGCAACATTCACCGTCACCATTTACAGATCTAGCACACTGAGGGCAAGAACCGGAAAACATACTCTTAAAGTAACTATTAAATTCAGTACATATAGCATTGCCATCAGTAATGGACTTACCTTGGTAACTTAATTGCTTGGGGAATCGAGAGCCACCACGCTTCGATTTAACGTATGACCAAAAAGCCTTGGGAGTGAGATGAATCCTATCCTCCATGCAGTTGATATACTTATTAAAACATTGTTGCTGAAGTAATTTTTCACGAGAACGTAGCAAAGCAAACTCATCGTAATCTCGAGGATTCCTAAAGCGTTTCCATTTGTTATGTATCTTGCTCTTTTCACGTATGACTTTTATTAAAGCAGAGTTATACCAAATGGGATAATACTCTTTAGTGCTAGTTTTATTTTTTAAAGGTACAAATTGATCAAGACATTCTTCTAATTTACTGTAAAATAATGTCGTAGCCACGTCTATCGATTTATTCTGCAGCCATACCATCCCAGTCAGTTTGTATAAAGAAGTTATTAATTGCAACATAGTCACATTTGTAAAAATCACGTCGCGGTGTGACGACTTCTTTGAAAGGGGTCACAAATAGATCAGTGATGTCAATATACAAAGAAGGGTGATGTTTGTCCTCTGTCAAAAGAGGGGAAGAACATCTTAGAACTTCTGTGTTTAGATTGCAGAATACTAAGTCCAGTGTACGTCTGTTACCATTTAAAATACTATTAAATTGTTTTAAGCCCAAGAAGATCATACCCTCCACAAGCGATAGTGCTGCATCCTGAATTTCCATACTCATGTTATGAAGTAATTCGTGATGACCATCCTGCCATTTAAAGCACCGAAGATTAAAGTCACCCACCAATAGGCATGTGTCTCCTGGGTACCGCTCAGTTAATGATGTGACAAAGTTGTTTACTTCATTTAGTTGCGATGGTATATTATATGAATCAGGAGGAATATATACCAAAATAATATTTAGGTTACATTTAGTTCCCAATTCACCTGCAGGCAACGTTATACAGAGTAACTCAGTATTAAAGTTAGAACTAAAACCATGCATTTGTCTAGCTCCATATTCACTCCTTATGCAAGCCATTATACCACCACCAGTTTTTTTCTGTGTTTGGGGTAAGTTACGGTCTAAACGCATGACGTCATAACGATTATCACATAATTCAGAACTTAGAATGTCATTCTGAAGCCACGTCTCAGTAAATAATAGAATATCATAGCTATTGCTCGCAATTTGTTTATAAAGATCTACACATTTCGTTCTAAGTCCACGCACATTTTGATAATACACAGATATTCTTTTGTCCTTCCTAACTTCTGTAGATTTATGCATTTATAATATTGTAGTTATGTATAAAAGTTGACAAAATTTAATATTATTATTAAATTTATTATTTGTGTAATATATCCCACATTATAGTCTGGAAAAAGTTTTGAGAAGTTAAATTTCATTAAATATTGTAAATAAGTAATTAGTTAATGTATTTATAACATTAATTATAATTTAAAAGTAATATATTCACAATAATGACCTCATTAAGGGCATAACTAGAAAGTTGTCTGGTTTACCAGTGAAGTGAGCAGTTATCTTCAGTGGGAAGCACGTGTTGACACTTTATTGGTCATTAAAGACCTGTAACGACATCACCCTACAGCCTCAGGAAATGCTCATCCCCGAAATAAACATTTACGATTGCTCTGTTTAAATCGTTGCCAAAACGATTCACACCGAGAGCGACGATATTCTCCTCGCTTTAAATTCTTTACGTTTCACCTAACGAAAGTAAATTGAATTTATTTATCTTAAAAAAAAAAAACAATTAATATTGTTGTAATTGAGACAACGATTTTCTTCTAATACATATATTTTTATTGATTTCACTTAATTCTATTTATCCAAGTTACGTATTTTCAGTATTTATTTTTGACTTTGCAGTTAAATCTAAATGTTCTATTAAAAATTAAAATTAAAGATTAATAAAATATTTATAATAACAGTTATATTGTATGCCAATAAATTTATCAATTACAATAAATTAATTATTTCAACTAATTAAATTCAAAAAATTTGTATTCATTTAATTAAGGAATCTAAATTACATAAGTAGCGAAATTTTGATTTAACATGAATGGATGGTTTGTATAATAATTACAATTATTTTTTAAATATATTCTTTTAAAATGAGATAAATGAAACTTATTCAGATCAAGCAAATCTTACTACGAGTAAATCTTAGATTTTCATGTAATATTTCTCTATATCTTTCATGATCCAAATTGTTACAGGATCGTACATTCATACGTATCTAGACACAAGGTATTATATATATATATATATATATATATATATATATATATATATATATATATATATATATATATCGCACATACGTTGCTATAACGTCACTTATGCAAATGATGTAATTTTTTAGGAGAAGCGTTTGAAAATTCAACACCCTATTACAACATATAGTTCTTCTCGACTAAAGAAATAAAATGATAATATTTAAACTACAACTTTAAACTTCATTTTAAGGTAAAAGCAAACATCTCACTAATTACTATTAAAAAATATAAACTTTTAAAAATTACTACCCCCACAGAAGTGACGTTATGGCACTAGAAAACAATTAACCTGACAATTATGTCAAAACAAACAAAACACGAAATCATAATATTATAAAATAATATTTATTATAGTAGCAAAGAAGTATAACAAAATTTCTTAACTCTACAAAAAAAAATTAAGTTGAAGCTTTCACGTAATTTATTCTTTTCTACTTCAGAGGCATTTTCGTATGCTTCACACTCATCGCAACGATCTTTTTTGGGTTTGAAAACTCCAATGTTAAAATCTTGGTTGAAAATCCGTGAGTAGACGTCGTAGTTTACAATAGGCTTGTTTTGTTGCTTCTGAATTTCGGAATAATTTCTGTGCAATGCTGCGACTGTCAAACCCCCATCAATGAATTGTCTGCTAGTATTAGCCCTGAGATTGACTTTCAACCTTTGGAATTGATTCGATATGGTCCTTTACTGCTTGTATAACTTCAGGTTGCAATTTGCATTGCTTTCCGTGTTTTCCTCGTTGATCAGGTGGCGTAAAGCCATCATTCCGTGCTTTGCCGTCGATAACAGTCCGTATTATCCATTGTGTGATACCCAGAGTGTTGATCAGAAAAGTTTTACAGACGCGGATCTCTTTATTCTCATTAAGCAAGTAATATGCAGTGTTTTCTTTTCTGTCGTACATTTTGTTAGTCTTTATGCGGCGGTAAGCACATTTTAGTGTTCTTGTACAAGCGTTTAAAAAACCCCGTTGCCTTTCTACACTCTCCAACTTCCAGTAAGACTTAAATATTTCCGTCCTTTTTTGTTCAGTAAATTTTGCAGCACAGGATAACCGACATTTTGAGGTACATGAAGGTCCCATTGTCTTACCTTGATTTAGTTTTTTGGTGTTTACTGAGATATAAGTTTGACCAGAATTTTTCAATCGCTTAGCAACATTCTTTTTCCAGGTTGTTGGATTACGCGTACGCTTTCTGCCTCTTGGTTTAGTTATAGGTTGCTCTGTTTGGTTATGCCCGTTAAAAAGACTCTCATTATTAGAATTATTATTTTTTTAGCAGGAGTATCACTGGAACTGCTACTTGAATTGCCACTGGAACTACTACTGGAGCTACAGCTGGAACTGCTTCTGGAGCTACTGGATGAAGACGACCTTGCACGAGGGTCATCTCCTAAATTACAGTACAACAATTACAATCTCATTAATAACAGTGCCGGAGAAATCACCTGTTGGGAAGTCGATATTATTTCATTCATTCGTTTCATTAGTGGCATATAAAATAGACGGAGAGTTACTGGGGTTCTCTAAAGTAGTATCATTCTGCTCTGGAGTAGTTGTTGTAAGGTCATCTAGATTGGCTGGTGTTACTTGTTTCTCGGAATTTGTATGATGAGACAATGTATGTTCAGAACATGGCATCCTTGTAGAGTTGGCTAAATTTTGCACTTCAACGGAGTTTTGATTGCCATTTGAAAGTGCAAGTAGCACAAGGTTTTTACTGCGTTGGTTCATTTCAGATCTGAAAGAAATAAAATACCTACATAATGATAACAAAAAAGGTAAACAAAAATGTGATAATAACAAAATATATGATCGAATGATTTACCGATATTATAATTTTTAATTAATACAAAATAATTACTTATTAGATCCTTAAAGGAACATGTCGGAACAATTATCATAAAAATATAAAATAATTATAAAATAAAACATTAATCCTACTATACTGGAGCAATATTGTCACAACCATTAATCTTACGTTAACTTTATACCATAAAATACAAATATTGGGGAAACAACGTCACTACTTACACAAGTGTCATATTGTTGTTTCCGTCGTCAACGTCACAACTAAATAAGTGTCGTTATTACTCCAAAAACATAAAAATAAATTGTCACAATTACCTTAGTAACGTTGTACCTCCAGGAGACTGCTTCTTGTGCGGGATGCCGTGCGCAACTGACCAATGAAACGTTGTTTCTTCCAGTGGCATTCAAATTCACGCCAAAACCATAACGACATTAGTGCCCTCACACGAAAAGTATACGTACTACACAAACGACAATAACGCACCAAGTAAAGAGGTAGATTAGGTGTATTTTCTCATACTCAGTTCAGTTTTGAGAAAAATTGCATAAGTGACGTTATAGCAACGTATGTGCGATATAATATATATATATATATAATATTTAAATTAATAAAAGAAACATTCCAAAAATTACATAATGACCCTAACAAGAGCTGTGTAGTGACGGATTAAGAATGCCTATTAATCCATATTATCTCGTGAGTATCATAACAAGCAACTGAGGAAAACAAAGGCATAAGAGGGGCAGTAGCGTTCGTCAAAAGTCATACAATCACGCATCGGCCTTTGAACGACATGTTGAGGAAATGAAGGTTACGAATGAGGACATCTTCAAGGCCATTCTTCCAAACCAACTTTAAGTTGTTTTTCATTATGATTTGTTGACAACAGTTTGGTTATGTAAAATTGGTACTGGTAAAAATAACAGACTGGTGAGAATTATTTTCACACTAACGTTAAGGTTGAGAGGTCCTGTCCAATGAAGTCAATGATTCGTCACCCTCGTCCTCTAATCCAGAGCAACGAAAACTTTCAGTTGCAATTACAAAATAATTTTTAATTTCTAGGAGATTGCAATACAGTGGATAATGTAAATAACAACCTCTGAAACTGTCCATGCAGTTTTAGAAGACTCGTAGCACAAAAATCCTAAAACTCTCCAATCACACTCTTAATCTCATGGCGGCATGAACGGAAAGTAAAATTGGGAACGTCCTTTTCAGTGGCTTTTTGGAATAATAATTTGACTTCGATATTTCAAACTCGTAGGGAGTTACAGGCACAGTCGTATATTTTTTCTGATGCCAGTACTTCTAGCTAGTTGGCTTTAACCTGAGTCCAATGATGATGATGATAAGGCTCAAGACTGAAAGTCAAATCTACGATACGGTGTCCATTCGTAATAATTTCAGTGTTTTTATCATTAGGTGTTTGTGTATTGTCGATGTTAGACGGGCCTCCGACGTTGGGATCGCCGGAATAGAGTGGACATGCAGCGTATGAAATGGTCTCAGTGAGATGCATGCTTGTTCGTGGAAAGCCACCCAGTTCATGAGTTCACCACCAAGTTCGTGTGATTCTGAGGTATTAAGTCATATATATATATAATTCACACTTTATAATATATAATAATATTAATTTGTACTTTAAATATACACACTATATTATATAGCCTCTATATATAAATAAAAATGAAACATTCAAACACTTTCAAAGAGATGTTCTGTAAAGCTTTATCAAAACCTCGTATGTGTAAATAAGAGAAACACAAAATGTAATTTAAATCTTTTTGCTTATGTTGCATTCTCTTTATACTAACAGTAAACGTCCGTTGTGGACTTCCTAAAAACTAATTCAGACTACAGCACAGACACAGACAGTGGTCGGTTTCCGCTCACCGTAAGCTGAATTTCATAATGCTCTTACATTAATTAAACTTGTGTTAAGGATATTATTCTTTGAGATAATTATAACAAAAAAATAATGCGAAATCAATTTTTGTACCTTTTATTAAATAAAATAAAGATTTTTTTTAATAATGATTTCTTAAATTTACGTGAAATTTATGGTCACGGGGGGGACAGTCCCCGCCGTGACCATGGTTGCTGTAAAGCACCCGAAATGTCGGGAATTAAAAATAAGTAAAATCAGTTAAGTAAACGCGATAGAATCCGTAAATTTAGTTTTATTCATTTTTTTTTAATTTAAAAAACATTAAACATTAAAATCGCAATCGGAGCTATTATCATATTATCTAATAACTTAATAATCATTATATTGTTAAGACCCGATGGCTGCATTGCATCACCATGTTACTGTGAGTTTTTGTACTAATGCAAAACCATTTAAATAATAAGTTATTACACTAATAAAAGGTGCATAAATTATTTTTTTATATATTTTAAAATTATTATATTTATTTTACCATATTAAATTTTAAACAGAATTTGTATCAACGCAAGTTAAAATTAATATAGGATAAAACAATATAAATTACTTATGAATCCAATATAATAAATCTTACGAAACTATTAGATATTAAATTAATCACTCTTTCCTTTTTGAAAATACTTTTGAAGGGTATGCGAACATAAAGTCTTAAAGTATCAGTTCCTAAAACATCTAAATCCCGATATGGCAATGGCCAAAGCGTGGTGTACAACGCGAGTGTCATTTTAAGATGTTACAATAATAAATCTTATTAACAAGACTGATGTGCTAAAAGTAATGTTTATTTTAGTTCAACTCTTAGATGTTACAAATTAGGTTTAAAATTAAATAAAAATAATAATTAAAATTACAATAAATATTTACAATTAATATTAATTATATACAATATAAAAAAATAAACTATGATATAGAAAAACTAACACTAAAAATTTAAATAGTCAAAAAGTCCTGCTCCCCGTGGTATAGTGCCAAGAACGCTGGCTGCGTTTCCTAGCTGAATAGCTATACTAAGCATTTGAGCGAGGAAAGAACCAGCCCTCTTATCAGCAGCAGCGACGACCAGCCGTGGATACGGTTCCTTTAGGAACTTCACTGCACTTCACTTTTAGTTTCAAAAATGTAATATTTTTCTTCGTGTTGTATTTTTGTTCATCTAAATATGGCTTTGTATTATGTGTGGAGTATTAACGTAAGCTTCACAATGTTATTATTTTATTAACCAAGCCATATAGTTTTTACTTACTGAATCTAAAATAAATTATTTATTTACGTAAAATGATACTTCAAACCCTTACTTACATACTCAAGCATTTTTTCCTTTGCTCTTAATTTTATACCTGACCGCCTTTATCTTTTAAAGGCGTTTGTGGGAAATTTCAAGAAAGCACGCTTTTATGTCATCATAATAACTCAAAGACTTTTATTTTTATAGTTAAATTGAACTTTTTTCTACGTGTTTATATCTCGCGTAATTCGATATACCGTTTATATACGTGAGATGATCAATAATCGATACATATTTTATGTATTAGTTTCTTACCTTATACTTCATACAACAAGACTATAAAGAGAGCAGCATTAAGCGATTTATAAATGTGTGTACATTTTGTATGAAACTTGCGTGTGCTGTTAGTAAAATATTGGTTTTATTATTAAATAATTTAAATTATAAAAATTGGGTTTAATACTTACACACAACATCTAATTTAAATGCATCTTCTATGCTTTGTCCGGGTAATGCACTATTATCCGCTTGACATTTAAGGTATAAGCCATCATCTTCAGGCAAAGGTATAAACTGTAGATTACTACTAACCCAGGTCTCGTTACTGTTTTCGATTATCTATAAGAACACTTGTAATTAGAGTAAAATATGTATTACAAAATTCAATTGTTATAGTAAATATGCCAATTTTTTTTGCAGCTGATTGGAATGAACATAATTTGCAGCCGATGCTTGCGTTTACTTAATTTAGAAAATCTATCTAAAAACGCTAAATCCAAAGGAGACGATCCAAATTTGTATAAAGCATAGGAATGATTTTGTACAAGTAGGGAAATAAATTAAAATAATACATTACACCACTTTTGGTCATTTAAATCCACGTATTTGCCTTTATTTCAGTGGTATTAATATTTTATTCTTACCATAAACTGCAACACTAGTGGTGAATTGAAGTCGATTTGACGTTAGCTCTCAACTGTCATGATGTTATTGATGCCTAGTGATTCAAATTGTGATTCTACAGATGTTCGATATCAATGAAATCAAAATCACACGTAAATCATGAAATCCATAAAACAAAAACCGTGTCAAACAAATAATAACAGATCCAAAGCCCAAATAAAAAAATCGAATCGCCTAAGAAATCAAAAGAAACACAATAAACGCATTAACGAGTTCACAAATACACGAACAAGCTCAGAAAAAAAAATATCACACTACCTACATTATTTCATGACTCAAGTCACTTTTCAGACATCACACTTGACATATAATTTTATGACTGGAAGGGCGCCATCTTGTAAAATCATCAAAAATTGGGATTGCATTTTTATTTTTAACAAGTTATTTAGTTTGATTTATTTTCTTATTTCATTTTTAATAAAATTCCTGTATTTTTCTCTTTTTTACGGTATAGTGTACATAAACTGGGCTTGAAATGGACCGTCTCCTTTCACAAAGAAGTAACTGAAAGCAGCGTGACTGATGCCAGAGTACTGACTGCGCTTACTTGCCCACATGCCAGCGTGATGAGATTGAGCAATCATTTAAAGGAATGCCTGTTGGCTCATTTCAAGAGAAGGCTATGAGCAGCAGTGAACTCAAAAAGCTGTGATAATATATACTATATTTAAATATAATGATATTGACCCTGTGGTGTGGCAAAGAAATTACTTTGTACATTAACTAATGCAATAAAAAGTCTTTCCATAATTTCTTTTTTAGCTTTACTTATATTATATTTAAAAGCATTTTGTTTGGACGATGCCTTCAACAAGATTGTTAGAATTGTAATGAAATTTGTTATAAAAGTCGATTATGAAGATGAAACATAGGATATTTTTATAACACTTATTAGGTACCAAAGCAGCAAAGCAAGCAGATAACATCAATACATACATACATAAACACTCACGCCTGTCACCCCGAGGGGTAGGCAGAGACTACAGACTTCCATTTATCACGATCCTGACATACCTTTCTCGCCTCTTCCACATCCATATACCTACGCATACATGCTCGTCGGTTAAGGGTACTCTTAATTTGGCCCATTTTTAGTATATCGCCAATTTGGTCGACAAACTTCCGCCTAGGACGTCCCTTTTCGACTCTTCCATTCACTTCTGCAACATATATTTGCTTTGTCAGTCTTTCCGCATTCATTCTTTCTACATAACCAAACCACCGAAGCATTCCTTTCTTAATCGTGTTCACCGCATCATCTTGCAAACCACACTCTTCTTTTATCACACAGTTTCTCACCCTGTCACTCAGATTCAGCCCTAACATACTCCTTAGCGACCGCATTTCTACTGCATTTATTTTACTCTCGTGCTTCTTCTGCCACACCCAACTTTCACTACCATACGTTAAAGTAGGGACTAACACAGCACTGTGAATTGCCATACGTGCCTTTTTTGACACATTCTGACTTTTCACAATAGAGTGTAGAGCCCCATTTACTTTATTTCCTGCATTCACTCGTCGTTCAATATCCTTATCATATCTCCCATCCCTGCTCAATACACATCCCAAATATACGAACTCATCCACTTGCTCAATTAACTCTCCTTCTATTCTTATTTCACATACCGTTTTGCTTTCATCTCTTTCAAAACCATCATTTTCGTCTTACTTGCGTTCACTTTCATTCCCCTTTCTTTTAATGACCTGTTCATTAATGTAACCATCATTTGCAACTCGGCCGCCGACGACGCAAGTATGACTTGATCATCGGCGTACAAAAGGCATTTGATGGTTAACTCACCCATTCTTAACCCGCATTCTTCAACTTTCAAATTTTCCAAACAGCTGTCCATAAATTGGTTGAACAGCCACGGGGAAGCTACACAGCCCTGTCTGACACCTCTATGGATGCCAAACCAGTCCGAGTAGACCCCGTTGATTCTAACACAAGCACTCGAGTCCCTATACAGAGACTTTAATGCCTGTATCAAACCAGCGCTCAACCTAAATGCGTTCAGCGTTTGCCATAACACATCCCTGTCCATTCTGTTATAAGCCTTTTCCAAGTCCATGAACGCACAAAAAACTTTTTGATTTTTCGCCAAAAACTTCTCCGCGATCATGCGGTATATAACATCAAGTGGTATACATATAAAATTTATAGCAATGAGGTCATCATATCAAATTCAATTCGTGAGTAAACTATTAAATGCATATTTTATTACCTTTCCCTTTTTAAATTTCCTGTTATTTTGATACCATGTAAGCTGAGCTGTAGGTCGACTACCTTCAGACACACATACTAAGTTAACGTATCGCTCGGAAGATAATGTTTTTGGTTTGTTTAGAATCTCAACTAAATTCGGCTTTACTGCAAGTAAAAAATAAGTGGATTTAACAGTTTTTTTTTACAACGGAGACCGTACAAGTACTACAATATTGCTTATAGATTAAAGACAATCGACGCGAATCAGGTTGTCGCGCTGGATTCAAGATCAAGTAGGCTCGTTTTTTTTCTATTCTAGTGGCTCAATATTATCACTCTTAGCACTTTACCTCGATGGATAGTTCGAAGTATAATTATGTTTGATTTTTGTAGTGAATAATTTATACATGTTATTTAAGTAAATTCATAAAAACATATAATAAAATTTACGTAAACTATTATTTTCTAATAAATTCATGCCGAATTTTTTTGAATAGTCAGATATTATATCGTGAGACCGGTCTTATCTAAGACATGCTTGTAAAAGCAATCGACGATTACAATTCATGGACATCCACAGGCAATCTCAAAGAAAGAAGGTTACAAATGCATTGTCACCTCTGATCGTTAAGATGGAATGCTTCACATTCAGACCGGAACACAGTAGTGCAAGCACTGCTATTTGGCCACAGAAATAATTAAGAGGGTCCAGACGGACACCAATTTAAAAAAGAGTAATGCTAATAAATGCGTCCAAAATGACGGGGTTTACAAATAAATAATTTATAAACGTTATGTCACTAAAACTAGTTTTGTTCAAGTTATTTTTGTTCAGTACAATATAAAATCAATACGATAAAGAATCACACAGTTTTGTTTTAATTTACACAAAGATATTTTACGAAATATATTACATTTAACATTATTTCTACAAATAAGAGTTATTTTTTAGTTTTAGGCATTTTTCTCGTTGATAAGTGTTTGAAACAAACCTAAATTGAGTATAAAGTTATTACTTTGACTTTGAATTGAGGTTTTTAGAATCGTGGTCATGTTTAATATGAAATAAAATTTTATATAAAAATATGCGTGTTAAACGAAAATGGGCCTAAATCCAATGCAACTATCTTTATAACTAAAATAACAATACTTACAGTTCATTTCCAACCGAACAGTCTTCTCCTGAGGACTCACTAGATTGGTATTTGACGCACGACACTTAAAAGTAGTATTGAGATGAGTTCTTTTGATGTGTGGTAATTCTAACCTATTCACAACAACGTGTGTATCAGTTTTCTCCCCTATATATTGTGGTGCTGGCGTTCCATTGATAAGCCAAATTACCGTTGGAGCAGGACGACCTCAAAATAAATAAATTATTATTAATACTTAAAGACGTATTAATACGTTTATACATATATTATTAATATTAATTTGTTTTTAACACTAAAAGATCAGCTACGCTAAAATAAGAATGAATTTTAACTGAAAATAACATTTTAGTTCACTTTTGTGTCTGATATATTTTAAGGTCATAAAAATTAAGGTTATAAAAAATAATGTGTTTTGTAACGATGCACATAAATCATTTGATGGCGTTTTTTCAAAGGTACAATTTTAAAATTATAGAAATCTTTAATGTTTTCAAATTAATTTTACTAATTGATTACTTCAAGCAATTAAAGAAAAATTTTATTGCTAACATTAATTGCTCGAAATTTTTCAAGACAATTTAATTGGCAATAAAGAAAGTTGAAAGTACAAGGGTTCTTTCGGCCGAACTTTACATTATAAATTACAATGAAATTGTGAAAATCACCGATGCCACTTCCAGTCTGATTTTATATTTTATTCGTGGTCCCCCTTTTCATCTGCCCACTCGCTCCCGTCGTATCTCGAGGCGATGGATAACTTTACACGGGGTACCATTTGGTGCCGATCTCGCACAGTGTGACTTATCGGCAAGTTTAAGAGCAATATATCAAAGTAATCGGTTTAATTTCTCATTTTCCATTTGGGAATAAGTTATGATTTGAGTTGTCTGATATTCTGATTTCCAACGTATCAATAGTGTGAGAAAAATGATCAGAGTTTTGTTTATAGGTATGTTATTGTATAATAGTAAGTAGCTTGTAAATTCAACATATTTTAGTATTGAAAATAGTGTGATGCATATCATTTCCACACTTAAAATATATGCTGCTGGACAAAAACTTTCCTTGAGTTGAAAAATATGTAACTACTATTACAGTTACACTGGCGATATCAGTAAGTAGTAGTTATTTGTATATTTTCTTTAATATTCCACTATATTTAAAATGATATTGCATTTTGTTCAATTTTTCTTTGTCAAGTCTAACGAACTGTATGTTCGACATAATATTATATTAAGACGAAAGGAATGTACAATATAAATTATACAAAATAGGTTGGAGGAAGGCTCGAGCATAGGTACCTCTTTATGAAAAGTCAGAAGAAAGAAGGAGGAACCTTCTCCTTAAAATAAGCAATAAATTTGTTTTTACAATATTTTTGTATGAGAAGCATAAAATACTCGTATATGATAATTATTATTAGTTAATTTAATAGATACTACTGGGCAGTAGCCTCTCGACAGTGTTAAATTAAAGTAGCAAAAATTGCCACGCTTGACAAATCGATCGGCATTCGTTACCCTTCATGAGTCAACATTTTAAAACTTATTATTTACTTATTATTATTGATACAAAAATAATGTAGGATTCAGCATTCTTACCTCCTCTAACTTCACAAATCAAAACAAGCTCGTTCCCTTCTTCCATTGGACCAACAACGCCAGATATATCTCTTCCTGATTTATCATATAGAATTATTTGATGCGGTGGAACTATAACAAATAATTTAACTTTAGCGAAAAAAAACTTTGTGATTTAGGGGTCAGGGGGTAACTACATTGTGGGTTCGGGGATCGAATCCCATCCTTTAATATTTGTGCAAAAAAATTATGTTTTTAATTAATGGTCTCGTTATGTCTTTTCTGTAACCATATATCTAACCTGCAAACCTAAACCACACATAGTTTTATTATAAAGCTGAAGTGACAAACGAATCCGCTGTCCAACCGATGACATGGCTATTGAATTCCAGTGCAGCTAAGTATCGCCCCCGAGAACCAAGATGGAAAGCCTCGCAGCCTCGTATTTATACTGGCTTTCTACATGTTCCAGACTAGAAGACAGAAGCGCACAATCACTACTGTTTTGAGGCAGGAGTTGGTAAGAGTATGGTATCTATCCTGGTAGAATCCTAGACCGAAAAGGAGTCCTACCGCAAAGTAAAGGATTTTTTAAGTGTTTATGTTTTAGAGTCACGCTGCCGCTATATTATGGCTGTAGCACTAAGGGGTAGACTCGACCGGGGTAGGTCAATGTGCTCACAAAATACCACTGTAAAATAACAGCTTAATGCTGCTGTGTTGCTAATTGTAGTGTTTTCAGGATTCTAGGTGAGTGTAGAAAACCAGAGACCCTTTTTACTAGAAACAATGCATTCCATCTTAGTACGCGTGGTTGACAATTCATCTGCATCATCATAAAGTCTTAGATATACTTGGGAACAAAAGGAGCAGCATTTTTGCTTGCTTGCTTTGAGGTTTTGGGGTTAGGTGTTCTGACAAGTATATGGGGGTGTCTTCTTGAATTTTATATCCAAGATGTTTAGCACACAGCTTACTTTTATGCTTCACAATAAAGGATTTTGCAGATTTTAATATTTTGTTTTTTAATATAGTTGAGTTCGTTTCAACTACAATAGGTGAGTTTTTTTTTGTCAGTTAATTTTGGCCTCACTCTGTATATGTCTTTGATATCTGATACAGAGATGTTACAATCAACAGTCTTCGAGAGGTTAACAACCATCTCGATAAGGTCTTCTTTATTTTCATTGGGCTTTTTTGGGACATTCTTAATTTCAAGACTAGATTTTCTACTCTCTGTATGCAATTCTTCTAATTTTAATACTAGCATGGTAATATTACGCGCTCAAGTCGACGCCACTAGCGCCATCTAGTCTCGAACCGAAGAACTAAATTTCTTGAAGTTTAAAACTCGAGCTCTCGGTACCTTGCGCGTGTTTACTTGAACATTCTGGATATTTCTTTGCTAATTTATATAAATAGGCGCTGCAAGATGCGATCGAGGCAGTATTGGATTTGGCGAGACACGCGAAGTTTCGGAGCGGAATAAAGTGAATTAGTGTGTTTAATTATTATTGTTTTAAGTTTTAATTTGTGTAAAGTAAATTAAAGTGTTAATTTAGGTAATTTTATCGGCAATTTTTATTGTCACGAACCTCAAGCTCGTAACAATTGGTGTCAGAAATGGGATAAAATCATGCCGATTTTACCTAAGGAGGAAACGGTGGGTGTCCGTACCCGAAGTCAACGCCAGCAGGAGATGGACCAACGAAGATTTGGTGGTGGTGCAACGCCGCAGACGTCGGAGGGCCAGCCACCGGCTGCAGGTCCGTCGGTAGCTCCTACATCTGCAGCACCTGACTTAGGTGCTCTGATGGTGATGCTGCAGGAGCAGGCTCGCCGACAGGAGGAGGAGGCTCGCCGACAGGAGGAGCAGGCTCGCCGACAGGAGGAGCAGGCTCGCCGACAGGAGGAGCTGGCTCGCCAGTTGAAAGAGCAGCTGCAGAGCGGACAAGAGGAACAGGCCCGCTGACAGGAGGAACAGATGCTCCTCATGAAGGACCTTCACGCTACCTTTGCGAAAGAGATAAGGGAGGTGAAGGATAGGGTTGCTCAACATGACAACCGCCTGTTGGAAGCTGAAACCCGAATCGAAGAACATGAAACCCGAATCAACCATGTGAACAATCGGGTTGATAACGTGATGGCTGACGTGAAGAAAACGCTGAACGACCTCAAACTTGGGGACGGAACTACAGATCCCGTAGTAGCTATAGCACCTTCGCTACGTGGATTTAAAGTGCCGCCGTTCGACGGGAATTCTTCCTGGTCGGCCTATAAAATCCAGTTCGAGGCCGTCATGGAGGCAAACGGCTGGAATAAAAGCCAGGCCATGACTGCACTCACCTTAGGCCTGCGCGACCAAGCCTCAACCGTGTTGGAAGCTCTCGGTAAGAAAGTGACCTACGAGCAGCTCCTTGAGGCATTGGGGGCGAGATATGGTGACGCTCACCTGGAACACGTCTTTCGCGCGCAGCTTAAAGATCGTGTGCAACGCAGCAACGAAAACCTGCAGCAGTGGGCCCTTGAGGTGGAGAAGATGTTTCGAAAAGCTTACCAGTCTGTACCTGCGCTCATTGAAGGGAACCTGGTGCAGACATTCATCGACGGCATCCGCGACCTGGAAGTCAGAGCTGCTGTGAGGCTCGGGCACCACGAGACGCTTAAGGACGCCTTGGCCCATGCACTGGAGGTAGAAGCCGTGCGGCAGGATCATCGTTCCCATCGCGTCAGGGAGGTTGCAGCAGCTACAGTTCGCGACCGAAATAAAGGATACATCCCTAGGTGCTATTGCTGTGGGGAAAGGGGCCATCTTCGATCCAACTGCCCTAAGCGAACCCTAGAAAGGGAAGGTGAACGATCTCAAAAAGGAAGTGCGGCTAACATCACCACCCAGCAGCAGCCGGGATACGACTTTACTATTAGACATAGCAGCGGGAAATCTCATGGCAACTCAGATGCATTATCAAGAAGACCTTGTCATGAAGATTGGAAACATTGTACTAGGCAGGAGAGTAAGGAAGTGGTATCCGTGAGGATGCTCATGGCAGACCACCTCAGCAACGAGTGAAAGGACAGCTTTCAACGTGCACAGCAGGAAGATCCGGACATCAAGCCGATCCTGGAATAGATGAAGGCCAGTGCTCCCACACCCAAGTGAAGCGACGTTTCAGCGATGAGTTCGACCACTAAAGGCTATTGGGCCCAGTGGGACAGCTTGCTGCTTCAGGATGGAGTTCTGTGTCGCAAATGGGAAAATGTTCGGGGAGACAGCTGTCATTTGCAAATGGTTGTCCCTAAAGCTAAAGTACCGGATGTTCTACATCTGTACCATAATGATTGTTCAGGAGGCCATCTGGGAGTTACACGAACTCTACTGAAGGTCCGAGAACGGTTTTACTGAGTCCACTGTCGAAACGATGTCGAGGACTGGTGCCGCAAATGTACAAGTTGTGCGGCTGTAAAGGGACCTTAGACTCGTAGTAGAGGTGCATTGAAGTTGTACAATGTTGGTGCACCATGGGAGAGAATAGCCATTGACGTGGCGGGGCCGTTTCCGGAGAGTGAAAGCGGTAACAAGTATTTCATGGTTTTGATGGATTACTTCACTAAGTGGCCAGAAGTCTTCGCCATTCCAAATCAAGAAGCTTCAACAGTTGCAGATAAACTAGTTCATGAAGTCTTCTGTCATTTTGGAGTACCTTTAGAGATTCACAGCGATCAAGGAAGGAATTTTGGGTCTCAAATATTCCAGGAAACTTGCAGAGTTATGGGTACTCTTAAAACAAGAACGACTTCTTATCACCCGCAATCTGATGGAATGGTAGAACGATTTAATCAGACATTGGAGAGGTACCTAGCAAAAGTTGTAGACAATCGGCAACGAGATTGGGACAAGTTTCAAGATTTGACAACCGTTTTTGTTGTCATATCGAAGCGCTGTTCACGAAAGTAGAGCAGTGACACCAGCTTTCGCAAACTTTGGAAGAGAATTACGGCTGCCTGCAGACCTGATCACCGGGATACCACCTGATCCTCCACGCAGTATAACCGATTATGCAAATGACTTGCGGAACAAAATGAATGACATTTATGAGCACGTCAGACAATCGGGCCAGCAAATGTCTGAAAGGATGAAAACCCGTTACGACCGCAAAATGAACAACAAAGGGTTCGACGAAGGTTCACTTGTGTGGTTGCACAATCCAGTCCACAGCAAAGGGAAATCTCCTAAGCTTCAAGCTAAATGGGACGGCCCGTACCGGATTGTGACCAGGATCAACGATGTAACCTACCGGATACAGAAAGGCGTAAGAGGGACTCCTAAGATCGTCAATGTGAATCGCCTAGCACGTTATAATGGGGCCAATAATGCTCGGGACGAGCATGTCTTAGGAGGGGGCAGTGTTACGCGCTCAAGTCGACGGCACTAGCGCCATCTAGTCTCGAACCGAAGAACTAAACTTCTTGGAGTTTAAAACTCGAACTCTCGGTACCTTGCGCGTGTTTACTTGAACATTCTGGATATTTCTTTGCTAATTTATATAAATAGGCGCTGCAAGATGCGATCGAGGCAGTATTGGATTTGGCGAGACAAGCGAAGCTTCGGAGTGGAATAAAGTGACTTAGTGTCTTTAATTATTTGTGTTTTAAGTTTTAATTTGTGTAAAGTGAATTAAGGAGTTAATTTAGGTAATTTTATCGGCAATTTTTATTGTCACGAACCTCAAGCTCGTAACAGTAATATGGATCCTGGCCCGCTTTGGTTGAGTTTCCAGTTGGTTAATTCTCTGCCAAAGTTACTCATTTTGAGTAGTAATATTTATTATATATTTTAATATTTTCGCCTTCCTTCTGGAACTCGTGCATTCTGGTCTCTCGCCAAGGCTGTCCAGGGGAATTTCTCTCACTGGCCCATACCGAAAAGGAGAAAGCCGATCTTCTGGGCTCTTTCTTTGCGTCCAACTCGACTCTCGATGACGGGGGAGTACGCCGCCGACCATCCCGCGGTGTCATGCTGGAGGTGCAGTTCACACAGCGCTCGGTTCGCAAAGCACTCATCTCCCT